TTGTTTGTTTTAGTGTAATTGACATAGAACATTGTTTTAGTTTCAGGGGCACAAGATGATAACTTGATATTTGTACATATTGTCGTCACCACAGTAAGTGGGATTAACGACCCATCACCGGCTACAGTGACAACCTTTTCTGTCGTGATGAGAACTTTTAAGATCTGCTCTCTTAGCAACTTCTAAATAGACCAGATGGCATTGTTAACCGGGGTGACCGAGCCGTACGTGACGTCACCGGGGCTCATTTATCTTAGAACTGGAAGTTTGTACCTTTTGACCCCCTTCCCCCATTTCACCCCACCTCTGTCCCCTGCATCTGTGGGCTTGGGTTTATTTATTTATTTAGATTTCACATGTAAGTGAGGTCATACAGTATTTGTCTTCCTCTGTCTGACTTATCTCACTAAGCATAACGGCCTCAAGGTCTATCCGTGTCATTGCAAATAGCAGGAATTCCTTTCTTTTTTATGGCTGAATAACATTCCATTGTGTGTGTGTGTGTGTTTATATATATATATATATAACATTTTCTTTGTCTGTTCCTCATTGATGGCTACATAGGTTGCTTCTCTGACATAGCAATTGTAAATAATGCTGCAAAGAACACGGGGTGCACTTTATTTGACAGAGACACAGCAAGAGAGGGAACTCAAGCAGGCGGAGTGGGAGAGGGAGAAGCAGGCTTCCCGCCGAGCAGGGAGCCCGATGTGGGGCTCGATCCCAGGACCCTGGCACCATGACCTGAGCCGAAGGCAGACACTTAATGCCTGAGCCACCCAGGCGCCCCCAGATGTCTCTTCAAAGTAGCATTCTTGTTTCCTTCAGCTCAATATCCAGAGGTGGTATTGCTGGCTCATATGATATTTGTTGCCCATGCCAATTTTAAGACTCAGTACAATAAAAGAAATGTAGAACATCTCCATAACTTTTATATCAATTACATGTTCAGATGATAATATTTTAGGTATAGTCAGTTAAATATAGCATATGATCAGAATTACTTTTACTTACATTTTCTTTATTTTGTGAGGCTATTGGAAAATTTAAAATCAGAAGAGGGGCAGGTTCTGGCCTTCATGTCTGCAGCTGGGTCTCTCCGATGAGCGAGGGTGGGTCGGGTCGGGGGAAGGGGTCCTTCACTTGGCCCTGCTGCTGATTCTCTCCAGAAGTGTCTACACTTGGACCCACGCTCCCGACCGGCATTCCGTTCCTCCCCAAACCTCAGCTGGGTCCATCTGAAAAATTCATGCTCTCCCTAACAGTGTAACCTTGACTTTATTTCCTACAGGACTGGCTGAAAGGACCCTTACTCACACGGAGGTGGAGATGACTGAAAGCAGACGGCCCCATGCGCTGGGAGGGAGCACAGCATGGGTCCCAGGTCCGATGGACACCAAGCTCTTCCCAGGCCAGCCCTAAAGCAAATGCTTGTCTCTCTCTTTCTCTCTCTCTGGTTCCAGGTCCCACGCAGACAGCCGCATCCAGTACCGGACAGACAAAAGGACCATGTGTAGACAGGGGGGAAACAGAAACCACACCCAGACTTCTGGGGGTCGGTTCACATCAGCAGCTTCTGCCCCCCAGCTCCCGGAGGGCACAACTGTGCTATTATCCAACACTCTTGGACGACACGGGAGACAGAAATGGGTCCATCTTCAAAGTACCCTCAGTGATGGCCCGGCCAGAGGGGCCTAAGATGAAGCGCCAAGCCCAGCCACAAAGGCTCTCACCAACGCCCCTCCGAGGGCTGGAGGCAGGGATGCCAAGGGCACAGACCTGCAGGGACAGAAGCTGAGACTAGGGAGCCTTGCCAATGTCCAGCCCTCCAGGACAAGTCTGGGAGCTAGGGAGCAGCTCCACCAGCCAGAAGGGAGGCCAGCCAAAAGGAAGGAGAGTGTCAGAGCCGTTGAACTGGGTCATAGAGGGCCTTGAAGGCCATACTCAGAAGTCCGGACTTTATCTGGAAGACAATTGAGGGTTTCCAGGCAAAGCAGTAAGATGCTCAGAGTCCTGCGGGGCTGACGACTCTGTCCTTTCTAAACAGGTGCACTTAGAGGACTTGGAAGACGAAGATGGCCTGTCAGTGACTCACCTGGATGCCTGGCAGCGAGTGGGCGGGGGAGGCTTGTCGGTGATAATTGGGAAGCCAGGCTCACCCAGCCCACGATGCATCACGCAGCCCTCCATGGGCGGTTCTACCTTCACGACCTGATTTAACCTACGCAGCTATGCAGGGAGATGGGCATAGAGCAACTGAGGACTGCTGGGTTTCTGGAATGTCTGAGGGAATGAATGAACGAATGTTGGCTAATAATTGTAACCCCCGGTCCTTAACATTACGTATTGAATGCACTGGGCTAAATTGCACTGAAGACTCAGTCCAGTGGGTGGGTTCAGGACCGAAGTCTCTTTTGCGGTGTACAGAGTCTTGGATGCAAGTTATTGGAGCTGCTGCAACAAGCACAGGGTGCTAAGAAGAATGGGGGTCCCAGGTGGGGGTGGAGCACAGGGCCCTGGCCGTGCAGGGAGAGGTCTGGCCCAGCAGCCCCGAGTCTCTCTCTGCAAGCCCCCCTCTGCACCTCTCCTGGATCCCTGGGCAGCAAGAACTCTCCTTCTGGCTCTAGCCTCCTTCCTGGTCCTGGAATTAATAAAGACTCTGAGCAGACTGCGGTTTGCAAGTCTGAAAGCCAGTTCCTGCCCACGTCACTGCCCCAAGAGGAGTGGGGCCCAGCTCCTCCCCAGCACCCCCTCCATTCCCCCTTCCCAGGAGGGGGCAGGCACAGAGATGCACCCCCCCAGCCTCCCCTCCCCACAGGCAGGCTCACCCTAAGCACTGAACCTCCAGACCCCAACCCTGAGGAGCCCCTACCCCCACCAACAAAGACCAGTTCGGGCGCATAACTTCTATCAGCTACCCCAAAGTCCCCCCAAATAACACACCCCGGAAGCAAGAGCTTACGTTTACTGGGCAATCAGCTTCCAGCTTGTTCTCTTCGTGTGCCCACCCCTCTTCCAAATTCCTGGAGTGGCCACTGCCCGAGACCAGAGGGAGAGGCAGGGATGACCCGGGGTCCCAAAGCGGCCCTGCAGAGGGTCAAACTTAGACTTACACTAAATACAGGAGTGGTCCTTGCAGGATGAGTGGTAGAAATAGTAGCGTGAATACTAGTACTAACACCAAATGAGAATGGAGCATTTTGGATCTGGCAGGCACGGTACAGAAATATATGGCCACATTTTATTTATCTCTGCAATAACCCTCCTAGGCAGGAATATTTATCACCACCGGACGTGAGATGAAACTGAAGCTCTATAAAGAGCTTACCCCAGTAGAAAGCACTAGAGTTAGAGTTTAATGCTAGGCTCACCTGAGTCCAATGCATGGCCTGGCTGTTGAACTCGAGACGGCCGCGGGGCTCCTGGCTGGAGGGAGGGGTCCTTTAGCTCCCTTGCTCAGAACTGTGGTTGTGGCTCCCCCTCATTCTCCATTTGGGGGCAGGGAAAAGCTCAGAGAACTTGTGGCCTCGAATTTTTCCCCCTCAGAGACTCTGATGAAGGCAAGTATCCATTTCCCTCCTCGATCCTCTGGCTCCTGAATTTTTTCCCCCACTTTCGGGGGCTGGGGAGGCATGACCCTCTCTTACCCTACCCGACCCCAGAAAAATCCCCCGGGGTCCTCATCCTGTTTCAGGCAGGCTGGGACCACCGGAGTCCTGGAAATGCTGGTCCCAGCTGTTTCAGCACAGGGCCGCCCCCTCCTGGCCACCAGAGGAATGTCAGCGCCCTGGGTGTTCTAGGGCTGGGAGAGAATTAGCAGTCTGGGGACTCCCCCGAGTCTGGTCTGGGTGCTAGCAGTGCTCAGCATTGAGACAGATGGCGGCTGGGTGATAAAGGGGTGCTGGGCCACCTCTCGGTCCGGGTGAGGTCCCCAACCCCTCGGTCCCCCATAGAGTACCTGGGGATCCTGCCTGAACTTCACCAGACACTGTGGTCTGCACAGGCCTGTGTGTGGGACTGTGACCTTGATCCATGACAAATGGAATCCCTGCGGTGTGTCAGGGTCTCCCACATGTCCCCCAGATGCCCCAGGGGACAACACCAACACGGTCTTAATTCCCAGGTGATTCCCCCGGGGCAGCCCCTAGGCCTTTGCAGATACGGATCGCAGACCTGCCCAACACTCCCCGCCCCGCCAGCATCAGGCAGGAGACTACGACCTTAGCCCATAAAGAATGGAGCCCTCTAGCGTGTCAGGGTCCCCCTTCCTTTCCCCAGATGCCCCACGGGGCAGCGCCAACATGATCTCACCTTCCAGGCCACTCTGCTCACAGCTCCTCAACCTCTGCAGACGTTGGCCCCAGGCCCTGGACCCCAGACCTGCCCAGCACCCCACCTCCCCAGCTTCGGGCAGGGACCTTCTCTGGCCAGACCTGGGGGTGTTGGGGGGGGTCTGGAGGGCCGGGGTGGGGGCAGAGGCGCGGGACAGCTGGCTGGTGTCCCCACGCTGGGCCCAGGGCCCAGCCAGAGGGGCGGGGGCCTGGCCACTCGGGCCTTGGCTGGGGCCAGATTTTTGGCCGGGCTGCAGGGCCCTCCCTCCTGCTTCCTCTCCCGAGGGCTGTCCTGGCAGAGGCCCCCCTCGCACTTTCTGGCAGGAACAGGGCCAGCAGTGAGAGAACAGCTACAGAGGGAAAGCGGGAGAGAGATGGGGGGGACTGTGTGTGTGTGTGTGTGTGTGTGCGCGCGCGAGCGCATGTGAGTGTGTTTTAAGGAAAAAAGCCCACAGTCCCGTCCAGTCAGACCCAGCCTGGGAGGCTTGTGAGCCGGGCCTTTCGTAATTGCCCCCCTCCCCGCGGCCCCCTCCCCCAGGCCTCCCCCCTCTCCCGCCCTCCCGCCCGCCCTCTCTCCCTCCCTCCTTCCCTCTCCGCGCGCCGAGGCAGCAATTACGCTTTGGGGATAAAACGAGGCGCAGAGAGCCGGCTGGGGCATTTCTCCCCGAGATGGCGGGACTGGGATCTGCAGCCCGGCGGCCCGGAGTCCTTCTGCTCCTGCTGTGTATCGCCCACCCCTCGCAGCCTGGAGGTAGGCCTCACCCTGCTCCCGGGGATGCCCACCGCCTGAGGGCCTCCCAGCCAGGTGGCTGGACTGACAGGCCAGAGGGCGCCCTTCACCCGGCCGTGCTCTGGGGGGTCCCAGGCGGCAGCCCCTCAGCCACTGGATCCTTGGAACTGCCCCTCCCGGGAGCCAGGCCGTGCTGAGGAGGAACCTGTCACACAGCCCCCCCGAGACTCAGGATGGTCCCGACCGGGTCCAGGTTCTGCCACCCCCGACAGGGCTGAGGACCCCTGCTCTGTCCCGGGTGCTGTCCCAGTGGGGGGCTCCCGAGCACGCTGGGGACGGGCTGGTGGGGTCCCATTGGGTCGTTGGGCACTAGCAGTTTGCACACCTGTGGACCCGATGGGTGTGCACATGTGCCCTGGGGGCAGGGGACCTGGGCTGGAGGCCAGCTGCGCTGCAGTGAGCTGTATGACCTCAACAGGTTCCTTGGCCCCCAGGGAAGTCAGGACACCCCTCTGAGGAAGGTCAGGGTTAAGTGGCTTACGGGGTTGTGGGTTGGAAAGCCGCTGCTGTGGTCTGTCCGTGGTGAGGAGGACTGGGGCATCCGAGCATGGGTGTGAGTGTGTGAGTGTGTGTGTGCACGTGTGCACCTGAACGAGTGTGTTGCATGCTATTGCACAGGTGGGCATGTGCGTATGCCCAAACGTGTCGTCAAACAGTAGAGGGGGAATGTCTGTTCACAGGCTCATCCCTGAGCAGGTGTGTGTGTGTGTGTGTGTGTGTGTGTGTGTGTGTTGGGGTGGGGAGTTGTAAGGTAGGTGAAAATGCTGTGAGCATGTGCAAAAGTCTGCCACCCGACAGGCATGTACACGTGGGAAATATGCGCTCCAGGTGTGGATTGTCACTGTGTGCGTGTGCGCGTGTGTGCGTGTGCGTGCCGTACGGAACACAAATGAGGATCAGGGAACCTGGGGAAGGTAAAATCTCCTGGCAGAGAGATGGTGGCCAGGGCCAGAGGCTAAAGTGGACCTCGGGGCAGTCCTGGACCATTGGGCATGTCCTCTGCCACAAGCCATAAGGGTGCCCCCCCGTGGGGCTGCTACGTACCTCAAGGGCCCCTGGGAGTGGCCTCCCCGGGGCCCCCGAAAGGTGCTCCTGGCTATGGGAAGAGAGGAGTGCAGATACTTGAGCCATCTGGTGGGGTAGCCTGGGTGGGGGTCAGCTTTCTGGGGGCGTCCCCCTTGCCGTAAGAACCAGACCTTCAGTGGGGGCCAGTGTTGGGGGGGGACCGGGTGGGAGCAGGGCCAGGCCGGAGGGCTGGAGTACGGGGCTGGGCAGCAGTAACGGTTTCCATGTGACTGACTAGCTGGGCAGGGCTGCTGGGAGCAGAGGGTTCCTGAACGGAGGTCAGCTCCTGGACCTGGAGGAGGGGCGGGGGACTGGTGCACCATCAGGTGGGGCCCAGCAGGGGGAGCGAGACAAACCCCCCAGGACGGGCCACCCCAGCACGCCCCCCCGGCCCCCCGCCCAGAGCAGCAGCTCTGGGCCCTCCTGAACCTCCTCCCCGCTCCCCCGGGTGTGGCCCCTGAGCAACTGCCTCCCCAGACAGCGCTTCTACCCGGAGCGTGGCAATTAACCCCCTCAAAAACCCTAAGAGTTGAGAACATTATCCTCTTTTGCAAATAGGGAAATGGAGGCTGAGACAGGCTAAGGCAGCCTCAGGGTGGGTGAGCAACCAGCCAGTTCTCTGCCAAAGGATGAGGGGTGGGGGGCCGGGTACCAGGCTACCTCTGGGGAGGAGCACGCCCGGGGATGAGTCCTCCAGGGTGGGCACACCCTCGAGCAGAAGATACCCTCTCCTTGTGCTCTCGGTGACACTGCGAACCCTCAACTGCCCTTGTTCTTCTTTTGCAAACATAAATCTCAGCCCGGTCCCAGGTGGTAGAGCAACTGGGTCCTAGTAAGGGCTGTGTGAATCCATGACATCTGTTGGGGTTTTTGCCCAGAGCCTCCGAGAGAGGTCGGGGGGGGGGATGGGAGGGGTCGTATGCCTACACACACAGAGCCACCCCCCCAGCTCTCCTGGGGAGCCCAGCTTCTGCCCTTCCACCCTGCCCTCCACCAAGAGGACATCACCCACATGGGTTCCCCAGCTCCAAAGAACTATATTGCCAGTGGAGGGGGCTTCCTAGGAAGACTGTGATGGAAAGGGTTGTCTAAACCCATTTAGGATGGGTCCAAAGTAGCTTTGAGGACCAGCCGCCCCAAACCCCCACGCCATTTAAAAAGAGAGACAAAGAACAATTAAATCGGGTAGAATTCCGTCCCCCGTGCCCCAGAAATATTATCAGCCTTTTCTTTTCCTGATTCCGGAACTAAGGATGATTTGGAACAGGGATTGTCAACCCTGGCTGCATATTGGAGTTAACCCGGGAACTTGAAACGGCTCTGATACCAGGGTCCCACCCAAGAATTCCTGCTTTCTTTGGTCTGAGGAGGGAACTGGATTGTGGAGGTTTTGTAAATGCCGCCCGGGTCACTCCGATGAGCCTCCAGGGCGGAGGACCTGTGGTCGAAGGGCTAATCCCGCTCTCTGCTTTTGCTGAGGCCGAGGCAGGAGGGCAGACATGCCCAGGGGAGGGAGGGGACAGAGTCACCCACTAGAGGACAGATTGTTTTTGAAAAGCCCTTGGCAGCCTTTCTCCAGGCAAACAATAAACAGCTTCGTGAGGTCTTATCTGCTCCCCTGCCAAACCCCTGGACTGGGGCTTGGCAAAGCCCCTTGCCAAGGCCTGCTGGCCCAATGCTCATTCCCCAACAGCCTTCTCCATGTCTTTGAACCTGAAGCCCAGGGCCCAGGCAGAAGGCCCTGCGTGTGACGGGGGTCAGCTGTGGGTCCCGGGCCAGCAGTCCCGTCTCACTGGCCATCAAACGAGGAGAAACATCGCTGCCCTACTTATCTCCTAGGCCCAGTGGGAGGCTCCCGCCGTGTAACATCTGCCGAAGTCACATCAAATAAGGGGACTGTGGGAATGTGAATTCCTGAAACAATTCATCTTCTTATTCAGAATGTGTTTACTTGGACCAATTGACTCTTATAATTAGTGCACATTTTTAAGGTTTAACTTTCCCTCTTGCTACTCACGCCATGTTTTGTCTGCTGGGTGGAGCACGCATGGGTGACGGAGGAAGCAGATTGGACTGCGGGGGCCCCGGCTGGGGTGGGGGGGAGGGCCCGGAAGAGTCCCGGGAAATCCAGGAAGGCTTCATAGCAGAAGCGACATCTGAGTTAGACCTTGAAAGAAAGGGCAATGCCTGAGAGGCCGTCTGCGGATGAGAGATGAGCCTGGGGCTCTGGGGCTCTGTGAGGCGGAACCGGAGAGATGGAAGGGCAGATTCTATCTCAGCAGAAAGAGGTAGAGCTGACAGCATCGGGAGGGGGTGACTTTCCCGTCACCGGAGGCATGCAAGCCAGAGCACAGGGGGATGTTTGCGGAAGGAGTTTCTGCCCACGCCAGAAGACTGTTATGATCTCTGAGAGTCTGGGATCAGGATTCTAAGAGGCAAGAGACAAGTTCCACCCTGGGCTAGCCCGCAAAACAAGCCAAACCCACATAAAACAAGACAAGCATGCTCCAAGCCAACTCCTTTGGACCAGCTGAGCAGTGAGAACCACAGGCTCAGAGAAGGCAGGAGAGGGAGAATTTGAGCTCAGTCTTGGAGGAAGGGCAGGACTTGGGTAGCAGAGAGGCGCTCCTGGCAGGAGGCACGGCTCCGGCCAAGGAGGTGAGGAGGAAGATGACCCGCTGGAGCGTGAAATCTGCCTTTCTGAAGGCCCTTGACCGACTACTGTCTTAATCTGTTCTCACCTCTCCTGCACTTGGCGAGAGGAGGCAGGGCCGGGATCCTTCGCACCCCCGATCCTTCTCCCTTAGCTCAGTGCAAAACGGGGGTCAAAATCTCTAGCTCCCCAGGCCATCATGGCTCAGGCATGGAGTTTGGCAATCGCTGTTGGGATCTGAATCATGGAGTGGGTGTGGGGACACCTGGGGCAGGCCAAGAGGGCTGCAGAGAGATGGGCAGGTGCTGGGGAGAGAGCAGGCAGAACACCAGATGAGGTGCAGGGGAGCAGAACCTCGACAGGAAGTAGGGGTTCAGCTGCGCCCGAGGTGGGGAGCCCCTCAGGCTGGTTGGGGATGGAACAGTTTGGACCCAGACCCACAGGCAACATCCTTGTCTCCCTTCAACCTCATTCCCCTGTGGTTTATTGACTATCCACTGGGTACCTGGCCCCAGGCCACGCACTGCACAGCAAAGTGTAGACAGAGTCACCTTTTTTTTTTTTTTTTTTTTTGAGCAATCACTGGATGCTAGATTCAGGGCAGGACCTTTTGACAGTTTGCAACAGCCTTGCAAGGCAGAGGTTATCAGTCCCACATTGCTTACAAGGAAACTGGGGCTCAGAGGGGCTAAGTGACTTGCCCAAGGTCACGCAGATGCTAAGAAGTGACACGGCCAGGATTAGAGGCCAGACGGGTCTGTCCTGAGCAGCCTGCCCCGGAGCCAGAGAGCAGAGAGGTGGGGAGAGGGTACTGTTGGGAGGGAAAGAAAGGGGAGGAGCATAAGAGCCGAAGCAGAGAAAAACCCAGACTATAACGGGGAAAGGCACAGAAGAGACAGTGCTCAGAGCTGGAGGCTGGGGCCAAGGGAGGCATCAAAAACCCAAGGCAGGCTGTGTGCGTGCTTGGCAGCCGATGACAGGGCCCAAGCCTCAACCTCCTGGGGCCACCACTCTGCGTCCCCGAGGTTCTGACCCGATTGCTTGCAAACTCCAGGTCTGGATGACAGGCCCTGGGGGGCTGTGGTGCCGGGGCTTTGGCACGGGGTGGCTGTGACAGCTTGGCATTCCCCACCCCGCTGGGCTGTTGCTGAGGCTGACGGGGCCACAGTGGGCAGACATCTGCCATGAGGCCTCCAGACACACCGCAGAGCTGCCCGACCCTGTCCCCCAACCCCACCCGCGCCCCTGTCAGCGGGGTGGTCCCGGGGCCCTGGCCAGAGCCCTGGCAAGGCCACTCATCAAGGCTGGGGCCGCTCCGTGGAGGCGGAGTCAGGGCCTGGGTCGCCCCGGGATCGTCTGTTGCCGTGACCACGCGCAGGCCTGGTGCGGGGCCCGGCAGCACGGCGTTTCCCAGGGAGAGCTTCGCGGGTCCATGGGGAATGAACTTGTGATCTTGGCCGGGCAGACAGCCCCTGGCCTGGCCAGTGAATTAGCTTTTCCTTAGGAAACTATTCACTTTGCTCATTCATGGTGTCCCCCTCTGGGCCCCGGCACCTCCTAAGACAGCCCTGTGTCAGACGGCCAGAACCCCACCCAACCCTGGCTGCCCGGCGGCTGAGGACGCTGACCTCACGCCATCGTATCAGTGTGGGGATGGCTGGCTTAGTGCTGGCAACGGTCACACTCCCTTACTGCTCGCAGTCACAGCCCAGCCTGCCGGCCCGCCCACAACTCCGCCCCTGCTCATGCTGCCCAGGGCTGGGTAGCATTGGCTGCCCAGTGGAAGGGACCCGGCCGCAGCCCCACGCCGGGCCCTCTCCACGGGGAGAGGAGCAGGGAACACCGTGCCAACCATCCTGCTCAGAGGGGTGGCCTGGGTTTGAATCCAGACTCCATCTCTTTCCAGCTGTGTGTCCCTGGGCACCCGTCTTAACCTCTCTGAGCCCGATTTCGCATCTGTTAAAACGAAGATAGTCATCTCTGCCCTTCCAACCTCATAGGGCCATTATTATGGTCACCACCCTTTTATTAGTTCTGGCTGATGGAGGACTCCACTTACTTACTTCCAGGGGTCCCGGGGGCTGTTCCTGGTGGAGTTCCCGGAGGCGTCTATTACCCAGGTAACGTACATGAAACTTCCACACACCCAGGTAAGGCAGAGCATGATCAGTTCGTAAGAGATGCACCCCGTGACAACGCAGACTGGAAGAACATTGGCGCGCCTCCCACAGCAGACCCGCGAGCCACTCCTACTTAAAGGCAGTTTGCGTGACGCTTTTACAAGTACTCAGAACATGCATTTTCTGAAAGACGAAAGACAACGTTTGTTTGCCAGGCTGTACAGAAGTGGGTGCCATCATGCCCCCCAGCCTCTCAAACCATGAACCCCACTCTTGGGAATCCATTTAAAGAAAATAATCGAAAGGTAGAGAAAAAGAGAGATCCTGAACAAAGTTTATTGGGAGGTTATTTGCAAAGACATAAAACAAAAAGCCTACCTGACTGGAGGGTGTGATTAAGTCGACCCTGACATAATACACAGCTACTAAAAAATAGGAGTGCGCTACCTGCCCAACCGGACAGCAGAGTGCTTTTCCGGGTGCTAACAATGTAAAAGCAACGACCACGTGCAGCTAGAGACTGGGAACACCCCCGAAAGATAAAGGGCAGAAAGTTGCAGCTCTGGCATGGGGGGAGGGCACGTTTTCTTTTAATATGAAAAAAAAAGCATCATGCTTTAAAGCAGATTGAAAAATCAAATGTAGCACTTTCAATACTTAGAAAGTATTGGAAAGGCATTTCCAGAGAGGTGGACACCTGAATGTGCAGGAAGAGGCGCCCGGAGAGGGCGTGGAAGCCCTGCCCCTTTTCCCAAACCTTGCCCCCACCCCCACCCCCATGCCTCTTCCCTCTGGCCATTCCTGAGTTACATCCTTTTATAATAAACTGATGATCTAGTAAGAAAAAAGAAAGAAAAAAGTATTTGAGGGTTCAAGCCCGATATGAAATGGAGGGCAGCTGCCGACACACTCCCAGACACAAAGTGGCACTGGCCTGTTGGCCCAATGGGGAAAATGAGGCTCACAGAGTTTAAGGTTCACCCAAGGTCATGGAGCTAGGCAGTGAGGGACCTGACCGTGGGTCCGTGGACAGCTTTCTGGCAGAGACATTGATGGTTCTGTCTCTCTCTCTCTCTCAACACAGGTGCTGGTCTCGGAGGTCTGGGAGGAGGAGGTGAGCTCAGAAACCAAACTTGGTCCCTCACAGATGGGGTCTGGCTGTCACTCTGGTCCACCCAGGTCCCCTGGCCTCAGAACCCCCAGAAGGCCTAGGCATCCCTCAGTTTACAGACAGGGCGTCCAGTTGGGAGAGACTTGCTGGAACCCGCCGGCCTCCCAAGCCCCTCCCCTGCCTCCTTTCCCGTGGCTTTTTTTTTTTTTTAAGATTTTATTTATTTATTTGCGAGAGTGAGAGAGAGAGAGAGCACATGAGAGGGGGGAGGGTCAGAGGGAGAAGCAGACTCCCTGCCGAGCAGGGAGCCCGATGCGGGACTCGATCCGGGGACTCCGGGATCATGACCTGAGCCGAAGGCAGTCGCTTAACCAACTGAGCCACCCAGGCGCCCTCCCGTGGCTTTTGATCCTCCACAACACCCCTGCAAGACATGCTGAGTGGGTATCGTTTTCCCTTCTGGGGCTGAGAAACTGAAGCTGGGAGAGTAGAAACCATAAATCAGGGCTGGAGCTAGGCTTCCCACCCACACATCCAGACACTGGGCTCCCAGCGGCTCCCTGTCCAAAGGGGAGGACCATCCCTATCAGCCTTTCTAGGACCTGGGGAGTGAGACACACACCCCCCCCCCACTGCCCCAGGGAGATAAATAGTAGAAAAATCGTGGCCTGGGTCTCCTCATTCACTCCCACCTCTTCCCTCTGCAGCTCTGGGACCTGGAGGCAAACCGCCCAAGCCAGGTAAGACCTGAGGCCCCAGGGGCAGGGGAGGGCAGGGCCCACAGAGTTATGAACCCAGGGAGGGAGGCAACAGGCCGGAGGAGGGAGGGAGGTGGTGAGCAACAGCTATAAGCAGGCTGGGGCCAAGCCCCAGGACCTCCAAGAACCGGAGGCTGGAGTCAGCTTGATGTCTTCCCTGGGTGAGGAGGGTCTGGTGTCTACCCTGCAAATAGCCGTGTGCCCAGCTGCCTGGAGCGGCCCCTTGGCACAGGGTCTCAGAAACAGCCCCGATGCTGGGGGCAGTGGTGGTAGAAGGCAGGGACTGATGTTCTGGTGGCCACCAAGCCTATGAATGTCACTCTGGTGCTCAGACTCGGATGGTGGGCTCCAGACTCCACCTGGATGGTCCCCTGATCCCAAACCAAGTTTCTCCAGCCTCTAGGCCAAGACCCTAGACATCTCTGACCTCAATGACAATTGGAGCCTTTATCCTGACCCCGGGCTGAACGCTGACCCAAGACTGAGGCCTGGACTTAACCCCAGCCCGAACCCTGACCCTGGGCTCAGATGAGCTCCCCTCCTGACCAGGCCCCTTCCAGCTGTGTCTAGACCTTGGAGGTTTCCAGTAAGAAGATCTGGCTAGATCTGTCCAGGCTTCTGCCCGTGGGGCCCAGATCTGCCACTGAGGTCCACTGTCAGCTCCAAAAACCACACCCCCAGGAAAGGGGAAGGGCGGGTCCCTCCGGGAAACACTGGTGGATAAGGAGCAGGTGGAGGAAATGGTCCAGATTTATGGCCCCATCGGTGTGAGATGCTCCACATGTGACCTTGGCACCCCCCACCCCACCCCCTGCTCCGCGTCTCCCCGGCTCTGAAACCAGAGGCTCCAGGACAGTTTGGATGTCCAGTGGCTCTTACGAAATCCCAGTGTTCGATGATCCAAGTGCAAATGAATCTACAAGACCAAGATCCCCCCTTTCCTGCAAGCCCGTCTGGGTTGTGAAACTCCGGGGCCAGGCCAGGCGAGAAGGAGAGAGGCGAGAGAGCAGGAGTCCTGGGCAAGCGCTTTCCTGGGGTCTGTAGGGGTCTGCGAGGCTGGGAGCCTTTGGGCTTCGCTGCTGATCCTGCCTGCATCCCAGTCTTCCTGGAGGGGCGAGCTGTCCTCACAGGGTCCCCGAGGGCGGGGAGGAGTCGAAGACGTGGGAGTAAGACTCTGCTTAGCCGGGAAAGCCCACTAAGGACTTTGTTTCGTGGGGGTCATGACTGCAAAGCTAGGGGGGGATGAGTGGATCCCACCGGCAGTAGGGGACCCGGGGCAATGGTGATAAAGCAGCAGCGGGGAGACCGGGATGGCTGCCCACAGAGGTCCATAGGGGATGGGAGCTAAAGCGAGGCATTAATGAGTGCAAGACTTAGTGCAGACATCTGAAAGAACTCCGGGCTCGGGGTGAAGGAGTAGACCAAAAGGGAAGTCAGGACATCTCCTTCTGATGGCAAGGGCCTGAGGTCACCCCCTTTCAGCCTCAGCACCCTGGGCCACAAAGGGTCACAGTACCCCCCACTCCCACGCCGGAGCAGATCTACACAGCCTGGCCGCGGGGACGTCTGGGCCTGCCCAGGCAGGACGGAACGGGGCACAGGCGGCGCGTGTCATACTTGGGAACAATTAATCCCTTGACAAGTAGAGGGTGGGTGGCCTGGCAGCCACTCCACGGGGGCCTCGGCGGGCTGGGCCTGCCCGAAATCTCAGTGGGGGCCCAGGCAGCTGGGAGCCAGCACCACCCACACCCCCCAGCACCAGCTGGAGGCCAGCCGCCGGCCAGGGAGAACAGGAAGGAGCTCGGGGGACACCCACTGGGTGCCCTGGCAGGTGGCACATACTAGTGGTTTCTACTCACCAGCCCACTGGTCCCGGGAAGGTCAGGGACATGCTGGCCATTCTGTAGGTGGGGATACTGAGTCTCTGAGAGGTGAAGTGACTTGCTCCCCTCATACACAGAGTAGCTAGGGGCAGCAGGGTTTGGATCCAGGGCTCTGTGACTCTGGGAAGACAGAAGGTTAAGCTGGCCGGGCCCCTGGGCTCCCAGCTATGGGCAGCTCCTCACCTCTCTCCTCCTTTCCAGGGGCTGGACTCCTGGGGGCGTTCGGGGCAGGTGAGTCCCCAGGGAGGAGGGCGAGCAGGGGTGGGACTGGTCATGCTGGAGGTGGCCCTGGGATCAGACAGCTGGTGGGGGAGCATGGGAAAAGGGCAGAGCAGAAGGGTGGCCTGCCCACCCACCAGCCCCAGCTTTCTCTTCCCAGACCTTCTGTGGTCAGGAAAGGCCTGAGCTTGTTCCCTGCCCTCTTGGAGCTCAGGAAATGGGCTTGGCTTGAGAGAAGCCCCTGACAGAACTGGGGAAGGGCAGGGCCTGAGGTGCTAAGGAAATGCACCCAGCACACCCCCAGGCCTGGCTGGACGCATACTCCACCTGCCTAGAAGGGAGAGGGGCCGGAGTTAGAGACCCACCTTGCAGAGGGGCCCACTGAGTTTCAGACGTGGTCAGCTCAGACAAGGAGGAGATGGGGTAGGAAGGGGGACCACACCCAGGGAAAGCCGGGTAGACCCTCTGGGGCTCAGCAGTCCCCTGCATCTGGGGTCTGTCTCCAGAGAGGCCTGCCCCTGGGCTCGGGACCCTGGCAGCCAGGACTGGAGTTTGCAGGAAAGATTCTCACAGAATTGGAAACAAACCTGGCTCGGTTGTGAACTCCAACCTGATTGCCCATCGGTCCTGGCCAAAGCCGTGGAATGTCTCCTGGAGGGGGAGAAGGAGCAATTGGGCCCAGATGTGGGAAGGAGAGAGCCAAAGGGACCCATTTGGCTTCTCATAAACATTTTAGCATCCGTCTGCAAGCAAGGAGGCTCCTGGACTGCAGGGCAGACTGCATGGACAGACAGACAAATGGTGGGCGATGGAAGGGGCTCCAGATATAGGGGAGGAGGAGAGGGCTGAGCCAGGGGACCCCAGCAAGGAAGCAGCACAGGCCTGGGGTGGATGCTGATGGAAAGAACAGAGCAGGGCCTGGCACAGAAAACCCTGCTGGGCCCCCCTTTAGCTGACAGGCCTAGCAGAAGCAAGGTCTGGCCTAGGGGTGTTATGGGGGAGGTCAATGCTATAATGCCTACATGGCACCTAGTTGCTGGTCACAATCTTATCAGGATTGGCCCCTAAGTACCAACTGCTGGAGTCCAGCTTAGGGGCCTGAGTCCTGCACACGGCCCTACCCAGTTCCTGATCACCCTCCACAAGACCCTTCCCACCCTGGGCCCAGGAATGACACCCGCACACCAGCTTCTCTCCTCACCTGGCTCTGTCCCCTTCTCCCCGCAGGTGCTGGTGGGCTCGCAGGCGGTGGCCCTGGGGCAGGTTAGTGTTCACATCCAGGCAACCTGCCCATCGGGGGGCCAAAACCAAGCCCAGGGTGTCTGTTTGGTGGGGAGGGCAGCTGGGGTACAGGGATGGCAGGCCAGGCATGTCCTGGGTGCTTGCATGGGGGTGATGTAGCAGTTGCTACAGGGCACAGGCAGGTCACGGCTGGGTCCAGCGTGAGAGCTGGAGAGAAGCCCCAGGGGCCAATTTATTGCTCTCCAGTGCCAAACCTGGTACTGGGAGCAGGGCTCACTGCTTGGCATGGAAGCCACCTCAAATGCGCCTCCCAGGAGGGACAGGGCCCCATGGGCTGGGGCTCAGAGCCTTACCGGGTCCTCCCCTGGGCAGGGCTCGGGGCCTTTCCAGCAGGCACCTACCCAGGGGTTCTGGTGCCCGGTGGAGTGGCGGGTGCTGCCGCGGCCTATAAAGCTGCCAAGGCTGGTGAGTGTTACCCTTGGGGACATGCCGTAAGCCCTCTGGCCTCTGTGAGCTCACGACTTTGCAAAGACCCTTTCCCGGGAGGTGGGCGGGTGGGCAGGCAGAATTCTCAACCCCAATCCACCAGGACTCGGGGAGGCTGCCAGCCGTGCCCAAGTCTCAAAGCGAAGTGGCAACGGGGCCAGACCTTAACGCAGGGCCTTCAACCCTGACCGCCCAGGGCCCTCCTGCCTCCCACCGTTCCTTGTGTGACCCCCAGCCTCTCCCACTCCCGGCTCTGTAGGGGCTGGGCTTGGCGGTGTCGGCGGCCTTGGTGGCGTCGGCGACCTTGGTGGTATCGGTGGCTTGGGAGTGTCTACAGGTACGGTGGGTAGAGCTGGGTTGCCCAGGGGAAGGCCGCAGGCCCGGGCGGAACCCACTCTGATGCGGGCCCCATCCCACGCCAGGCGCGGTGGTGCCTCAGGTCGGAGCCGGAGTCGGAGTTGGAGTCGGAGCCGGAGCGAAGCCCGGGAAGGTGCCCGGTCAGTGTGCAGTCCCCGGGGGGGGGGGGGGGGAGGGGCGGACGGGGAGGGGAGAGGCCCCCCAACCCCCCACACCAGAGGCCTGGCCCCACTCGTGTAACATGGCAGAGATGCTGGAGAGGGGCCCCGGCCTACCTTCCAGGCCCTTCTTCCAGATCTGGGAGCAGAAAGGGACCTCAGAGACCTGCTCTCTGGCAAGCACTCAAGGGGCAGATGGGGCGCGGGGGGGCTCGGGAGGGACAGGCAGTCATGGCAGAGCTGGCCTGAGCCCCGGGGCGCGCTGACTCCCCATCTGGTGCTTTGCACTCTGCACCCAAGCCCTTGAGGAAGTGACTTCAGGTTGAACAAAAGGCTGCCTGAGTCCACACAGCAGGGAGGGAACATCTGGAAGCTGTTAGCCCAGAGGTGGGCTGAGCCAGCCATGTAAACAGGCTCCGGGAGACAAGACAAATCCACACACAGAAGGGTTGGCAGATGACTTCCGAAACTCGTGGGAGAGCCGCGGCCACCGCGCTTGGGTCTCTGGCGACATCCTCCGGGCCCTGGGTGGCTGGTCCCGGGGCCCCGGGCCGCTCCAGAGAGAACGGCCCCGGGAGGGTCTCCTAAAGGCCGGGCTACGGCTCATGGCTCAAAGCTCTTCTCTCCGCCACAGGTGTGGGGCTGCCCGGTGTATACCCAGGTGGAGTGCTCCCAGGCACAGGTGAGGGCCAGGAGAAGGAGGGAACCCTAGGCAAGGAGAGCAGCCCCCGGCAGCCTCCCTGGTGGCCCGTGACGTCCCCAGCTGGGCCCTGTCCAGCACTGTCCCCCTGAGCATCAAAGCTCAGGCCAACAGACAGAAGGCCCCGGTCATTTTCCCCCCAAGAGCCTAGTCAGCTTCATGGCGTGCCCCAAGCGCTGACCCTAGGCCCAAACCCAGACCATCGTCACAGTCCAAGGAGGGCCCCCCGGGGACACAGCAAGTCCCAGTGTGGCCAGCTCTTTCCCAAAAGCTCTGAGTCACCAGGGGGCCCGCCCGGCACATCCGCCCTGCAGGAGACCCCCCTCCGAGCTGCCCTCTTGCCCTCCTTTTCCTGCCAGGGCCTGGCCTGGCCACCCCGCCCAGCATGTGACCTCCTGAATTCCCCCAAAAGCCCAGATTCAGCCCGCTCTGAGGGATTTGCTGACAGTGTCCCTCCCCACTGTCCCTCTGGCTGAGGTGGCCCAGCCCCAGTGGAGACAGGAGTGGGGCAAGTACCAGATGCTCTGCCTTGTCTGGGGACGGCAGGCGGGGTGGCTGCAAATTAACTCCAGTTTAGAGAGAAGGCCGACTGAGCCACAGGCTCGAGTGGCTAGGAAATGGAATTAACACTCAGGTCTTCTGACCTTGGGTCAGGCGGGGAAAGAGAATCACGGCCACACAGGCCCCCCGCCAGCCCGGGAGCCGTGCCTGAGGCTGATAGTCAGTACAGAAGGTCAGCTCTGGGACCCCCGGAGGGGTGTGGGTGGTCTGCCTTCCCACACCTCACGGCCAGCTCCCCCTCGGCCCGCCAGGAGCTCGGTTCCCGGGTGTAGGGGTGCTCCCTGGGGTTCCCACCGGAACCGGAGTCAAGGCCAAGACCCCAGGTATGCGGCCAGTGGGCTGGGAGCCCAAAGAGGGAAGGAATCTCCACCCTCATCCAGGCCCCTGTGGCCCCCCGGGAGGGTGGAGTGGGGATGGGGACTCTGGGCTCAGGACCCTCCGGGTGGGTGGCCGAGATGGGCAGCACTCCTCTCAGAAACCCCTAAGTGTGAGCCGGGAGGTCCGGGTGGCCCACCAGGGGTCCGTGGTGGCAGGGCTGCCATGATGGCTCCTGTCTTTGCAGGTGGAGGCGGAGCTTTCGCCGGAATCCCAGGTGAGGCACAGCTGGGTATCCCCCCCCGGGCCCCCGGCCGGCTCTTGCCCTGGGAGGGGCTGGGCACCCCGAATCCCAGCAAGGCCTGTCCGGTTTCCCTCATGCCTATTGCTGCAGGGCTTGGACCAGCTTCCACACAATGTGGCCTCGATCACAGGCCGCTTCCCCAGCCCCAACCCCTCTGTCTGTGCGGCAGCCAAACAAGCCCAGAAATCCCACCCGTCTGTGCCAAATGCTGGGAGAGCTACAGGCCTCGACTGTGGCCCGAGCCCCAGCGGGGGGAGAGAGTCTGGCAGTTTCCCGGAAGAAGTGACCCGGGACACTGAGGAGGGCCGGGCTGACCAGGGACAAAGATGCAGGAAGACAGGATGGTTTCTGGAGCTCACTCTGAGCAGAGTAGAGCGGGAGGCCGACGGCCCCGCAGGGCTGCTGGCCCACGTGGCCGGGACCTGAGCCCGCTCTCCTTGTTCCCACAGGAGTCGGACCCTTTGGGGGCCAGCAGCCTGGCGTCCCGCTGGGGTACCCCATCAAGGCACCCAAGCTGCCAGGTGAGTCAGAAGGAGGACTCAAGATGCACCACTCCCCGGGCCTCACTGATGAGAAGCAGGCGTGTGGGGGACTTTTTTTGGCCACTGGTGTCTCGGCGGGGGGGTGGGGAGGGTTAGGACACCTGAGTATGGACGCCCCACGTCTGGTCGCAAGGGAAGCCATCCCGTAGGCACCGGCCTCCCTCACACGCACAGGTACACAGAGCCGTAGCCCCCATGGGGAACCATAGGGGTCGATGGTAAGAAACAGCCTTCAATGGAAAAACCACTCTGATGTCACCCCCCCGCCCCCCAGCCATCAGCTCAGACAATGAGAGGTTTGCTCTTAGAGGATAATAAGGAAGAGACTCGGGGATTCTAGGGCCATGGCAGGTCCTGGATTTGTAGGGGGAGGGTCGTGCCATCAGCCCCTGGAGAAGGGGTGCCCTCTCCCTCCTCCACCCAGGGCCGCCTCTGTGAGCAGCTCGGGACCTTTGGTGCATGCGTGGAGGCCAGGTCTCAGGCCTCAGTACCTGTAGGGGTAGGGCTGTCTACCCAGGCAATGGGAGCCCAGCATAGGGTTGCCATGGAGCAGCCCCTGAGCCCACCCTGCCCTCCCTTCAGGTGGCTATGGACTGCCCTACAGCACTGGGAAACTGCCCTACGGTGAGTAAGACCCTCCTGAATGGATGGGCTTCTAGCTCTTTCCAGCTGCAGGGGCCTAGCAAGGAGAGCACCCAACCGGGGATGGGGTAGAGGCTTGGAATGGGAATCCCCTAAGAAAGGAACATAGAACTTGGACTCAGCCTGGTTCTTGATCCTGACCCTCGGGCTTAGCCCCAGGCCTTGAGCAAACCAGTTTCTTCACCTGTAAAATGGGAATAAGCATCCACACCCATTTGTATGTGTTTTCACTCTGGCTGGGAGTGAGAGTATGGAGACTCGGGGCAGCCTGACCCCTGAAGGGCAAGGCAGGGGGGGCAGCCGCAGTCAGATCTGCACAGATGCCCACTGAGCCTCTCTGTTTCACAGGCTATGGGCCCGGAGGAGTGGCTGGTGCCGGGGGCAAGGCTGGGTACCCGACGGGGACAGGTAAGGAGAACCTCAGCCAACTGTCAGCCAAAGGGGCCCCAATCACCCAGGTTCCAGAGCCCCGGGGGCTGGCCAGGGTCTCTCCAGGATGCAGGCCAGCCCACCCTGAATCTAGACCCCAGTCTGAGCCTGGAGAAGGATCTCGGGTGAGGGCAGCTCCCTCAGCTCTGCTTGCTATGAAGCCCCTCCCCCATGCCCTTTTGCCAAAGGGTTGGTTCTCGTGGGGCTGGAACAGGCGGGCTCTGGAAATGCAGGAGTACAGTTTTCAGAGTCTCTCTCCTTCCCCTCCCCCAGGAGTTGGTGCGCAGGCTGCAGCAGCAGCAGCAGCTAAAGCAGCAAAGTATGGTGAGTGCACCTGCCAGCCCCCAGCCCCCCAGCCTCTCCAGCCCTTTTATCCCTGAGAGCCTGCCTCATTGAGAACTAGCCAAGGCAGCCCCTCCCCACCTCCATTTATCCAATGTTTTCAATACCACCCACACCTCCATCTGTCCATCTACTCATTCTTTCTTCCATCCTTCTTTCCATCCATCCCTATTTATCCCTCATCCATCTTCCCATCCATCCATCCATCCATCTCTCCATCTATTCATTCCTCCCTCCATTCATCCATCCTTCCATTTGTCCATTCCTCCCTCCAGCCATCCACTCATCTATCCATCTCTTCTTCCGTCCATCCATCCAGCTATTTCAGAGACCAGGGTCAAATAAGAGCCCTGCTGGAAAATGCAGGCACTGTGGTGGGAGTCAAAAAGAGGGAGACGTTATTTTTACATGGGGGAAATCAAGAAGGTTTCTCAGAGAAGATGACATTTGATTCTGGAGTTTGCCATGCGGTTAAAATAGGAAGGAGAAGCCCAGGCAGAGGGGATGGGTACTATGATGGTTAGAATGATAATTTTAGGTGGTACCTACATGAGTATTTAAACAATGTGATAGTTCAGTATCAATTTAATGTGTACTATACAACTTCTAACCTGCTCCTCAAGCCCATGATCCCTCGGCCGGCAGACGTGGCACAGCCCTCCCCATGCCTGTGTGGTGGGCAAAGTGAGCATCTCTGCCCCCGTCCCAGCTCGTCCCCCAGTTCAGAATCACATTACTGGGGCTGAGGTCCTTGTCTTCATCTGCAGTCCCAGGGAGTCCCTCCTGTACCCCAATGGGATGGAGAGCATATCCCCACCAGCCCAAGGGGGCAAGGGTGGAGGGGAAGCAGCAAGCCGGAGGCCTGATCCATGGAGGCCCCGCAGGCCCTCCCTCTAGGCCCCCAATGCTGTGGGGGATGGCTGGAATGTGGGAGCAGGAGAGTGGGGTGACAAGGGGCTGCCAGAGCTGGGCAGCCAGGCGCTTGGATTACAAACTTGGCCGAGTGTTCGGAACACAGGGAGGGGAAGCCTTGAACATTCCTACAGGGGCCCCTCTGGCCCGGGGAGCGGCCGCTTGTGGTTTCTCAGTATGTGGCAGTGATTAGAATGGGATTTGTCTGAAAACATACAAGTCCCTTAATGAGCGTGTTGAAATGGACACTTTGGGGGTGAGTCAAGGAATAGTGGGGTGGGGGCCTCCTCGAGCAGGCCCAGCCGGAGATGCCTGGGCCGCATTCCCAGAGGACATGGTGCTGGTCAAAATTCCAGCATCCAAGCAGCCTTCCTGCACGGTCTCAGGAGGGGCCCTGGGAGCTACATCTTCAGTGTGCCCTTCCCGGCAGGTGCGGGAGGAGCCGGGGTTCTCCCCGGTGTTGGAGGCGGCGGCATTCCCGGCGGGGCCGGCGCAATTCCTGGGATCGGAGGCATCGCAGGTAGCGTCCGTCCAGCAGGGGCTGGGGGTGTTCTTGAGAGGGCCACCGGGGAAAGGACCTCACGCTCTGTGGCCTTCTCTCCAGGGGCAGGGGCGCCGGCCGCTGCGGCAAAGGCTGCCGCGAAGGCAGCTAAGTTCGGTGAGTGCCCCGAGGGGTGGCCGGCCCAGACCCCGGCACCCTCAGCCCCCCATCCGCATGGGCCTTGGACAGCCCAGTCCTACAAGGCTGGGTGGGCCTGGCCTTCATCCATCTATGGCAGCCTCTATCCCCCCACTCCCCAAACATGCAATGTTCCTACCTCCTTGCCTTTGCCCATTCTGGCCCCTCTTTCTGGAAGGCCATTGTTCTCCACTGATCAGCTCAGCTGGGGGCGGGTGGGGGTGTCACACGGAGCACCTGGCTTCTCCCCTCCTCCCTTCAGGGCTGTCCCACCACTGCTGCACCCACTCCCCGGGGGCCCAGCGGAGAGACCTGACTCAGCTTTAGACCTAGATCATGGTCTTCCCACCCACAGAGCCAAACCCTCCGAGCTCTGGGCAGGTTCCGGCAGCCCTCCCCATCTCTCGGATGGGTGGGATCCATGCAGGCGCAATGGCAGCCCACCTGGGATCCTGTCCTCAGGACCTACCACTCCCACAGCTCCCAGAGCTGTGCCCTTAGAGGCCCTCTGAGGTTCCCACAGGGTCCAGGCCAGGAAAATAATCCTTTCCTTCCACCAGGAGCTGCTGGAGGCTTGGTGCCCGGTGGACCAGGCTTTGGCGGCCCAGGAGTTGGGGTCCCAGGTGTTGGGGTCCCAGGTGTTGGAATCCCAGGTGTTGGAATCCCAGGTGTGGGTGGACCAGGTGAGCTGGGCTGCGTGTGTGCGTGCGTGCGTGTGCATACACACGTAAGAGAGAAATATTGAAGCCGTTGTTAAGACTTTTGGATTCCCTCTAATACCTCACCCATCTGTCCTCGTCTCTTCATACCCTCGGCCATGACTCATCTTCTCTTCCTTGGGCTGTAACAATCTCCTGATTAGTCACGGCCAGCATCAGCTTCTCTAATTCATCTTCTGGCTCTCCGTGTATATTCCCAGCCCTTAGCTGAATAGGTGCTCAGTAAATGGGGAGTGGATGGATGGATAAGCACATGGTTGGATGAGCGAATGACGAGATGGGTGTGTAGAAGGCAAATGCAAAATGAACCATTGCATAGTTAGATGAATCTATAGGTAGGCAGAGGAGTGGATAAGTGGATGGATGGGTGGGTGCACGAATGGACAGAGAGGTACGTTGGTTGAGTGGGTGGATCGAAGTCCAAGGATAGACAAACAAATGGACAGACGTATGGGTAGATCAATGGGTGGATGAATGGGTGGTTAAGTAGACAGTTGGACAGATGAGTAGATGGGGATATGGACAAGTAGGCCCTTGTGTCATTTGTGTCCCCCTTGGTCTCTCCAGGAGCTGTGTCACCAGCTGCAGCTGCTAAAGCAGCCAAATACGGTGAGTGCTGTGCTGATTAGCTCTGCCCTGTCCTGTTCTGGCCAGAGAAGGGGAGTGACTTGCCCAGGGTCACATAGCAAGTCACTGGGAGGTCACTGGCAGAGCTGGGACTTGGAACTGCTGGGCCCTGGGACAATGTCTCCTCCACTTGTTTCCTACCATGAGGCCATGGGGCTGAGTGATGCGAGAGTCCCAGTATGGCATTCCCAGTGGAGACAGCGTCCCTGACCCTCCCTGCCCCAGCCGGGGCCCTCTCAGAGGAGCCCAAGCCTGGCTAGGGCTATGGGACCTGCCCACAGTCTCTCCAAGGCCAACAACGGGGCCCTTCCGCAAGGGGTTAGAGAGCGCTGGCGGGGGGGGCGGTTGTTAGTAAAGGCTCCCTGGCGGAGGCTGGCCCGGGGCCCATGCATTCTATGGTCTCCGGTCCTTCATGGACCAGACTTGGGGGAGGCTTGCCTCCTCTTTCCCAGTTGACCAGCATCGCCCCCACCCCCCACCCCCCAAGCCCTCCCCAGCCTCTCTTACTGAGATACTTTTCCACCTGATTCTCTTCCGTCTGCAGGGGCCAGAGCCGGAGTGGGTGTTGGAGGCATTCCCACTTTTGGGGTCGGGGTCGGTGCTGGGGGCTTTCCTGGTTACGGTATTGGAGCTGGAGCCGGAGGTGTTCCTGGAGCTGCCCTTTCCCGTGAGCCTGAGTTCCATGCGGCGAAAGCGGGAGAAGTCTTCTCTCTTGGAGGGCAATGGGGGGGGGGTGCAGGGGAGCGTAGACCGGGCTTCAGAGTGCTCAGGGAGGAGCTGGGGTGGGGGGTGCAGAGAGGGGTTCTAGCACTTTAGCGTAAGAGTGCTGTAGGCATAGCCCCCCCCAGAGATCCAGGGGGGTTTCTGAAGGGCTCTCTCTCCCCAACCCCCAACAGCTGCAGCCCAGGCAGCAGCCGCGGCCAAGGCAGCCAAGTACGGTAAGTGCCCGGCCCTGCCTGTCCCAACGCCAAGGCCAGTGCCGTCCCCTCCTCCCTGGCCCTGCTCTCCCAGGGGGCCCAGGCTCCAAGGTCAGAGCGCTCCTCCAGTGTGAGGGTGGAGCCACCTCAAGCTCAGGCCTCTGTTTCCCTCTCTGTCCAGGTCAAGGTCGGGGGGTCCCTGGTCCCATCTTCCAAAGCCACTCCGAACCCTTCCGCCCTGTTCAGTCGCCCACCACTATGAATATTGGGGCCCTGCTTATCACCCCCAGCCCCAATCAGCAAGTTGGAGGTGGCCTTGCAACCATTCTGTTCCCCAAACCACCTCCACCCTTCGCTCTCCCAACGGGTGGGTGACTCTAGGGACAGAGCTGACGCCCTTCACTCCTCCAGGTGCTGGAGGAGCAGGAGCCTTGGGAGGGCTGGTTCCGGGGGTCGGAGACGGAGTGGCAGGTGTCCCAGGCACAGGAGGAGTGCCAGGTGAGCGGTGTCCCCAACCCAGAGACGGGTTTGGCTTGTCTCACGGAAGGAGCCCTGGCGTTGACCAGGTCAAGTGCATCATTTCGTGGATTGTCAAGACTTTACGGAGGCCGGAGATGGGGAGGAGGGAGGGCAAATTCCCCTGCTCGGGAGGGAAGACCCTCTGCGGGATCCTAGCTTGCTGGGGAGGCTCGGGAAGTCAGGCGTCATCCAGCTAAGTGACGGAACTCCTTTATTCCCGTGGCCTTTCTGGTTCCGGATCAGGTGAGAGGCCTGGGCCACCCTTTGGCCTTCCTGTGTTCATTCTCCCCCACCAGTCAGAGGCCAAAAAGAAGAGATGAAGCTACGGGGAGATTAAGTTATAGACTTCCTTGGTTGTTTGTCCCCATGCGATTTCTCTTCTGCATGCCTTCATTCTGGGAGAAAAATTTTCCTTTTGCGCTTCCCCACAAAACAAGCCGTTTCCTCAAGTTTGGGATACAAGCACTGTTGGGGCTTTTTTTTTTTTTTTTTTTTTAATTAACATCACCTTTGGCAGAAAGCTGCACAAGACTTCTAGAAACTTGGGAGAGGGTCTGGGCTCCTACCCATCAGCGCTGGGCTCCCCTCTGCCATAGCCAGAGCTAGAACACAGTCCCAGAACTGCTTCTCCGGGAAAGGACGCACGCAGGTTGGCTAGTGGGCCATCCTCAGAGCAGGCCTGGAAGCCAGGCTGGCTGTCCGTGTTCCCCTCTCTGTCTGCAGGTTGAGGACACAGTGTGGGGAGGGTCTTCTGGGGGAGGGGACACTTCCCTACAGGTGGTCTTTCCAGAATAGGGGATGGGGCAGGGCGTGTGGAGAGGGGTGTCAGGGACTGCCCCCTGATCCCTACTCTTCACCTCTCCAGGAGCAGGGACCCCAGCCGCTGCAGCCGCCAAAGCTGCCGCCAAAGCCGCCCAGTTTGGTAAGTGCCCCCTCCAGCCCCCCCATTCTGCTCCCAGCCCCCATTCTGGAGCACTGTTCCCCCTCATGTTCCCTGCTCTGGGGTCTGGCAGCTCAGCTCTCCCCGGGAGGCAAGCCCCCTCGGGCTGTCACATTCGGGGCTTTCTCACCACCGTTGGCCCATCCGACCATTGTTAGGGCTGTGGATGAAGGGCTGATCGGAAAAGCAAAGTGAGAACAGGCCCTGGCGAGCCCTCTAGGACCCGGCTCCCCAGCTTTCCCAAAGCCCTCCTGTCTCTAGCCGCAGCTGGGGCCTGCCCCCCTCTGGACCCCGGGCCAGGCTCACTGGACTCCCACCCTCCTAGAGTACTTCTTACGGCCTGACGAAGCTCTCCATCTCTTGCAACCTCCGAAGCCCACCCTGGCAGCCCCAGGCACCCACACCTTCCTGAACAGGGCAAACCACAGCAGCCCCACTTTATAGATTCCAACTGTATGCCAGGCCCTGGGCCAGGGGAGGTCCCTATGCCTTGGCCTTAGGGACCTGCAGATATCAAGGTTCCGATCACAAAATTTAGCACTGTCTAGGCCAGAGAACATCTTGACGTCGGGTCTGCTGACCCCCAAACTCACGTATGGCAAACGACCCTTTTTTTGCCAAGCCACTATGTGCAGAGGTAATCCTTACACCAAGTCTATGGGGTTAGTACTACAATTCCCACTTTACAGATGTGGAAACTGAGGTTCTGAGGGCTTGAGTCACGCGCCCACATTTGCTCAGCTCAATGGCGGCTGAGCTGAGCTTTGAACCCGGGTCTACCCATCTTGCCGAGTTCCCTTTACTGTGTAACTGCCTCCATCACCCTCAGAAGCCCCAAAGGGGTCCTTGTCCTCCAAAGTTAAGAGCTCTTAATCCTGCACATGCCTCATTGTAGGGATGAGGAAGCTGAGGCCCCTTGAGGGAAAGCAACTTGTCCGACGTCACACAGCAAGCCTGTGTCCGGGCTGGGACAAGATCCCAAGGCTCTTGACTCCCAGCCCGCTGCTCTTTCCGTCAGCTTCTGTCCTTGGTCAGGACTTGGTTAAGAATGAGCTCTTCTGGCTCTTGCAGGGTTAGGCCCCGGTATTGGCGTGGGTCCTGGCATTGGCGTGGGCCCCGGCATTGGCATTGGCCTCGGTGGTGTTACAGGTGAGCTGCCTGAGTAAGTGGGCCTGAAGGGCCTCTGAATCCTCCCTGGGTGCCATCCCTGAACCCCCTCCCTCTCCCTGCAGGAGCAGGGGCCCCCGATGCAGCCAAAGCTGCGGCTAAAGCCGCCGCCAAAGCCCAGTACCGTGAGTACCCAAGCCTGAGCTGCACCCACACACCCCCCCCCGCATGATATGCAGCCTCACTGGGTCCCAGAGCAGCCCCCGGAGGGGTCGGAAGCACAGATCGGGCATGAGGGACACCTGGGTTCAGGTCCTGGGGCCCACCCTAGCAAAGCAACCTCTGAGATCCCCCCGTTCTCCTGTGTGACACGTGGGGTATCCACAGCCACCGTGCAGCCCTGAATGCCAACCTGGGAGGGGCTGGACTTGGCGGTCAGTGGGCATTTTAGGAAGACCATTCTTGGTGGCACTATAGAGGGCAGGTTCAGCGGGCGGAGGCCCCTGCTTGCATCTGGACCCCCGCCCTGAGGGCTGACTCAGCTCCCTGGGAAGGACCCCCCCCCCTGCCGTGGGTGCATGCTCCCAGCCTGCTGCCCCCCCACCACTGCCCATCTCCCCCAGGGGCTGCAGCTGGGCTCCCTGTTGGCGTTCCCGGCTTTGGGGCTGGTGCTGGTGTTCCCGGATTCGGAGTTGGTGCCGGCATTCCGGGATTTGGAGCTGGTGTTGGTGTTCCTGGCTTTGGGGCAGGTGCAGGTGAGGGGCCTTGTAGGGCCTGGGTGGAAACTGCCCCCCTGAGCTCCGAGAAGGGAGACCCCTCTTCCTGCCTGCACATCCTCCAGCAGCCTCACTCAGGGGCTCATAGTGAATCCCCCATTAGGTTCTCCTGAGCAATCAGAGATGACTGGGGTAACAGATGGGTGGCAGGCCAGGCCAAAGGGGCCCCAGGCTGCTAGATTTCAGAGTTTCTGCCTGCTCAGTTAGAGGAGTGACGGGGTTCCAAACTGAAAAGTAGCCCACTACCCAGCAGAAGGAGGGTGGAGGTCCCTGGGGTCAGCGGGCATGAGTGGGCCAGTCTGGCTCCCCTTCAGCAGCACTATGGCAAGAGGGCCACTAGGACCTCCAGTTCTTCACCTAGTTAGTGCCTGCTCTGCGTCCAGCCTCAGGCAGATCACGCTGTGCCTGGAGCAGAAGGAAGGGGCAGACAGGAGGAGGAGGCACAATTCAGCCTTCAACCAGCCCCAGACCAGACTGGCAGCGGCACGATTAGATACTAGAGCTCTCTCCCTGGCAGGGTGAGCTCCTGGCTGGGGAGCCACGGCTTCAGAGCTTTGAGAGGAGTGATGAAGGCTGAGGAAGTCAGGGAGGGCTCCCTGGAGGAGGCAGAACTCCCGGGCACAGATCTCGGCTGCTGACCAGCCCCCTTTTCCTTTTTCTCTTTCCCCCCAGTACCTGGAACCCTGGCTGCAGCTAAAGCCGCCAAATATGGTGAGTGCACCCCACACACTGCCCCCTGGGGTTGCTTTGCTTGCTGCCCCACCAGCCCTGATAACACCTGGTCACTCATCTCCCCTCCATGGGGCCGGGGCCCAGTGCCCAGAGCCTGCAGCACAAGGCTGGGAGGGTCAGGGTGGAAAAAGGCAGTTTCTGGGACACATCAAGGATGGTTTAGCAGCCCTGGCTCCTCCCCCTCTGGGACAACTCAAAACGCCCCTCACGTTTCCAACGCCCCTGGTGGCAGTTCCTTGATGAAGACTGTGGTCCCTAAGGCCCTTCTGGCCCTGACCCCTGACAGTTTCGTGGGACCCAAGGCCAGGGGCCAGGGCCCAGGCCTGCCTCGTTGGCAGGGCCAGGACACCTCACCTAGGCTCCCAGCCTCCCGCCTGCCTTGCTGTCAGCACGACTGGGCCTGCCACGAGCCTGGAGGACGTGGCAGCCCTGCCTGGACAGACAGACCCACACTGTTTGTGGCCCCCGCATTCCTGGCCTCCTAGGAGCCAGACCAGGGCCCCTGCCAGGGAACCGCCAACCAGCCCTGGCCAGTCCACTTGGGGCCAGTTTCCACCTCGGAAAATCCCGGCTTCTCAGCCCCCACCCCCCCACGGGCCTGGTGACCCACAGGCCCCTCTTCTGTTCCTGGCCGGCGGCTGGCCTGCCTGAGTCTAACAGACGTTGCCAGGGAAACAAAGCAGTTGAGGGCGCTGGCTCCCAAGCCATGTGTTGCCTGTGGAAACTTGAGGACATCGCTTAACCTCTACTGTGCCTCAATTTTCTCATCTGCAAAATGGGGATGATAGTGGTCCCTACCTTCCCTGCTGCAGTGAATAATAAGCAGGCTACTCCGTGCGAAGCACAGAGAACCGTGAATGTTGCATCAAGTGTTAGCCGTGGCCGCACGCAGCGGCTCCGCACGGAGCAGTGGTTCAGAGCTCAGAGTACGTGCACAGTGGGGGTGTCCCTTTGCTCCCCAAACACCTGCAGCGTGAGCAGGGTGAGGATCATCGGCTCTGGGGCTCAGAGAGGCGACAGCGATAATGAGTGGAGGAAGCAGAATTCGAACACAGGGCTATCAGAACCAGAGTCTAGTCTTCTCTCCTCTGCAGCTCATAGCCACCACTGTGGCTACCTGTGGCTCCCAGCCCTAGCTGGCTGGGAAGGAGAAGAAATGGGCAGGCCGTGGCTCAAGGGGACCCCCCCTTGCCCGACTGGCCAGGACAGAGCCAGGACTCAGACCCAGGTGTCTGTCTGGTGCCCCTTCCACTGGGTCACGTGGCTTTGGCCACATGTCTGCTTGCCTAGCATCCCTAGGGCAGGGAGCCCCCATCCTGAAGAAATTGGGGTACTGACTTTCCATCTTCTCTCTAGGAGTGGGAGGGCCCGGGGCTCTCGGAGGAGTAGGTGTCCCAGGTGGTGTGGCAGGTGAGTTGAAAGCCCAGAACAGGCTGGGCAGGGAGGAGGATGGACCAGTGGAGAGTCCCCCACCCCCCCCACCCTGAGCTCCTTCTGTGTCCCCAGGAGCCGGACCTGCGGTCTCAGCCGCTGCTGCCAAAGCTGCCGCCAAAGCCGCGCAGTATGGTAAGCATTGGTTGGGGGTGGAACTTGGCGGGGGGGGGGGCTCTGACCATGCACGGGGCCCTCAGGGGCATCGGCTCCCCAGAGCCCAGCCCATGCCCTGGCTCCACTACTCCATGCAAGGCCCTAGGACCTCAGGCTCCACCTGGGCCCTGGGATGAGAACCCCACCATCTGCAGACAGACCCCTGCCATTCCCACCAGCAATTTAACACACAGCTCTCTCCACAGGCCTCGGGGGAGCCGGACCCCTGGGAATCGGGGGGCTCGGAGTCGGAGGAGCCATCCCAGGGGTTGGGGGCTTTGGAGGTGAGGAACTGCTCTGGAATCAGAGGTTGCAGGGGGCATGTGTGTGTATGAGAGAGAGAGAGAGAGAGAGAGAGACTGAACTTCTTTCCCACCTGCCACACCTGCCCCAGGCTGGCTGGCAGCATTTGGAGGACCTTCAGCAAGTGCATGCTGGGGATCACCACGTGCAGCTGGGCACCCCTCCTCTCCCTGTCCTGTGTCAGCCTACCCACCCACTTTAAGTGGGAGTTCATCGGGATGACGATGGTTGTGCCCATTTTCCAGAGGAGAAGAGCAAAGTTGGGAGGGAAATTTTTTCCCCAAAGTCTCTGCCATCGCGGGGGGGGGCGGGGGGAGGACGGGGCGGGCTTGCGTTGACATGTCACTCTGTCGTGGGCCATCACTGTGTCTCGTCCTGTGTGCTCCAGACTGGACACACAGTTAGAGCTCACTAAGGACTCTGGGGAAGATGGGAGGATGGTGGCAGGTGGTGAGTGGACGAGCAGGCCAGGAGGGGACAGGACTCTGGGAGGGCGGTGCTATTCCTGAGCCCTCTGGCCCCATGTCTCCCCAGGTGTGCCCCCGGCCGCAGCTGCTAAAGCAGCCAAATATGGTGAGTTGCTCCCTCTGTCCAGGCGGCAGGCTGTCTCTGCCCCCACCCAGGCCCCATCCCTGCTCCAGCTCCCACCTCAGTCCTGCTCACACTACCCCTGAAGGCCTGCCCAGGATGTCCCCGACCCCAGAACCCAGAGAGGGGGCTCAGGGCCCCTTCAGCTGTGCCTCGTCCAAACCCCGTCCACCCTCTCCTCAGGTGCCGCTGGTCTAGGAGGTGTCCTGGGAGTCACCAGGCCATTCCAAGTCGGAGGTAGGGGCCATCTCTCTGTGAGATCCTCTGCTCCGCCTGGGTCTAGAGGAGGCCTGTCTGGCTAGCAAGGGGGACTCCTGGAGCCACATCTAGCTCAAGGACACGAAAGAGAGAGAGAGAGAGAGAGAGAGAGAGAGAGAGACGGTGGAGGGGGCAGTCCAGGAAAGGAAACATCCTGGGCAAAGGGGCAGGCCTCAGACCAGCGGGTACACCATGGGCGACAGACACCAGGCTGATGAGCTGGGGGTGCAGGGGTCCCTGCCAGGATGCCGGGCGGAGACAAGCCTTGTAAGGGAAACTGCTCCGCCAGCGAGGGGCACGCGGCGGGGAGGAAGTAGTCCTGGGCAGACAGGCAGGAGGTGATGAGGCTGGAGCAGGGCCTGCCCCACGCCAACCCCGAACCCCTCCCACAGGAGTTGCAGCACGACCTGGCTTCGGACTGTCCCCTATTTACCCAGGTACACCCAGGCTCCCTGTCCCCCGGCCCGGCCTGGCACTCTGGCCCCATCCTGCCCACACCCCTGCTTCATCTGCTCAGAAGGGTGGAGCCAGGACCCGGGGGTAGACCCATGACGTCCCTTACACGAAGCCGGGCCTCCCCTCCTTCTCCTCCCCCTCCCCTGCAAGGCCAGGGAGCATCAGCTTTTCCAAAGCACCACGTTCCAGACGAGGCACACTGAGGTTCAGACAGTGCCAGGGACTTGCCCAAGGTCACACGGTGACTGAGGCCGAGCTGAGGGCTCCTGACACCCAGGCCCAGAACTTGGCTGCCCCGGGCGGTGGGGGAGGCTTAGCGGGCTCCCCAGAGTGGACTCACTCACAGCCCCTCCCCTTGTCCTGCAGGTGGTGCAGCCGGGGGCCTGGGCATCGGTGGTGAGTCAGGGCCCTGAGCTACTTTCGTGGAGTGGAGGTGGGGTGCTACCGTGGCAGCGGTGACCGAGGCCACGGCCCTGGGCTGGCCCTCCGATGCCAAGGAAATTCAGTCGTGGGATGTAGGGATGGGGTGGGGGGGCAAGGATCCCATTCCCGGGACTCGCAGCCTGGCATTGACAGGACACCAGGAGACAGAGACCTGGGCCAGCCCCGGTCTCTGGTGTAACCGTAGAACCTGATGAGACCCCACGGAAAAGGAAAGGAAGTGTGTAAGGGGGAAACAAGGTCCATTCAAGCAGGTGGTTAGGGAGGCCAAAGCCTAGGGCTTTTTAGGTGGGGCAGTCTGCGTGGCCGGGGTCTGAATGGTGGGCGGGGGCATCCTCCGAGCTGCTCAGACCACCACAGGCAGGATACCATTCATAAGGAGCAGAGCAGGGGTCCAGCTGGGTGAGACCAAAGGCCAGGCTGGGGGCAGGAAGGTCTTCAGAACCTTCTGTGACAGGCTGGAGGCCTGGTACATGGTAGGGGTTCTGGGAGAGGCAGCAAAGCTTGGCCGCCTCCCCAACCCCCACCCTTCCCTCCACAGGCAAACCTCCTAAGCCCTTTGGAGGGGCCCTGGGAGCCCTGGGATACCAAGGTGAGTAGAGACTCAGCCCCTGGGAGAGGGCAGGGTGGGGAGGGGCGGACACAGGCAAAGGGCTGGGGTCCATCAGCCTGGGAGCAGTGCGTTTGGAGCAGGCCTAGTGGGGAGGTTGGGGGGAGCTGGGCACCTCACCCCCATCCCTGCGTCCACTTCCGACACAGACATCCAGAGCTAAGAGTGGGCCTGGGACCCTCCAGGCTCGCCCCAAGCCAGGACTGGCAGTTTCTCCCTCCCACCGGGAGGAGCCAAGGGAAAGGGAAGGAGGCAGGGCGAGGGAGGAACTTGGAGGAACAGAGGAAGAGAGAGTAAATGGGACAATGGACCCTAGAGTCAGGGAATTTGAGGGGTGGATGGGGGACCCAAGGTGCCCCTAGCCGGGCAGGGTGGGCAGAAGCCACCACCTGGCCCAGACAGAGCCACACCCTTGCTCAAAGATGCAGACATGCCTCTGGGAGTGTGTGTGTGGCGGGGGGGGGGGGGGGGGGGGGGGGGGGGGGGGGGGGGCAGGTAATGGTCACCACCCCCCAAGGCACCTCCCTAACAGCACCCAGAGGAGACCCAAAGACGCCCAGCTCCACCCCTGTGTCTGCTCAGGCTGTGGAATCCCTTCCATCCCCACCTGCTTCCCACGACACATATAGGGCAGCTGGGGCCAGGGCTGGGAGAGGCAGAGGCAAGACCAGCCCGACCACGTCCAGGGTAACCCACTCTCAGTCAGGTACCACTTGATGCGTGTGGCCTGATCACACTCCTTTCCAAACACCCTGGATGAGTTTCACAGGGAGAAGCCTGTCCCTGCCCCACTCAGCTGCTCGCTGCCACCAGGTGGCGGTAAGGAGCCATGTTGAGCTCCAGCAGGGGTAGAAACTACACCAGGCCCTACTACCAGACAGTGGTGCCTTGATGGCTTAAAACAAGGCTTGCCAATCGGTGCACTCAGAGCTGCTCGCTGAAGGCTTCCCAAATGCAGTGGACTCAATATAGAGACCTTGTCCAGGCCAGGGCCCTTCCCCTCCCTGAGCCTTGATTAGGCCACCATTCCGTGGGCCCTGCTCCCACCCTCCTGCCTGGAAGGAGTTAGGGCGGTGCAATGGATCAGAGTTTGGCGGGAGGTTGTGGCCAGGCTTCTCATGGCTTTGGAGCCTCGGTTCCCCACTGTGTTGATGTGGGTGTGAGGAGACCTTGGAGCTGGTCCAAGCGGGCAGGGGCTTGAGCAGGACCCCGGAGGGGTCGGGCTGTCACTGGTGCCTCCTCCCACCCAGGTGGGGCCTGCCTGGGGAAATCCTGTGGCCGGAAGAGAAAGTGAGCTTCCCAGGACCCCTGACTCGCGACCTCATCAACGTTGGTGCTACTGCTTGGTGGAGAATGTAAACCCCTTGTGACCCCTCCCCCATCCCCCTTCCCCCCCCCCCCCCGCGCCGTCCCCACCCTGGGAGGGGACAGGCCAGGCTGGGTGGCCTTGGAAATTCACAAAGCAAGGAAACAAGAGAGGTGGCCAAGTGGGCCCCAGGAGGCCCCCAACTTCAGAGGCCGGGGGTGGGTGGGCTTAGCCCCCCGTCCCCACCCCCTTCCCACCCAGGAGCTCCCCCTCCACACACTCTCCATCTCCAGGGGAACTTGGTGCTACGTGCTGGTGCTCTCATCTTCCTGGGGGGAGGGAGGAGGGAAGGGTGGCCCCTTGGGAACCCCCTCCTTGGGACTCCTCTGAAGATGGTGCGGACACTCCCCGGGCAGTCCCACCTCCCCCTGCCCACCAGAAACCCCACCCCCCACCCCGGCTGCGGTCCAGTTGGTACCTAAGCACCTAAAGCCTCAAGCTGGATTCGGTCATACCATCTCTCAGCCCCCTTGCCCCCCCACCTATTCCCCACGTCTGGGACACCTGCGGATGAGAAGACCCCCACTGGGAACAGCGCTCTTGCTCTTGTGGAATTCATCCAGCCATCTGTCCATCCGTCCATCCATCCTTGTCCCCAGCTGACCGCCCAGCACCGCTAGCTGGCTGGGTGCCCCCACCATCAACCTGGTTAACGTGTCCTGGCAACCTGTGCCCTGCCTCCACCCCGCCACACACACCCCTACGATGTGGCCTGAGCACCCAGGGTGTGAGGAGCTACACCAGCTGGGGAGGCAGGAATCTCCTCCCCAACCTGGGTTCCCCCCCATGCAGTACTGTATACCCCCCGTCCTTCCCTCGAACCACTGTACCCCCTTCAGAGCATTTCCCACCCCTGCCCCGCCCGTTTCTTTGTGTCTCGCTGTGATAGATCAATAAATATTTTATTTTTTGTCCTGGATATTCGGGGATGATTTTGGATTGTTGATGTTCTCCTGGTTTTATTTTCGTGGTTAATTGAAAAAAAAAATTTTTTTTTCTTCCGATCTGGGAGCTATATTCCCCAGGAGAAGATTCATCTTAATCACTTTGGTATAACTCTGGATGAAAATACATACCTTTTTTTTTCCTTTTAAATATGAAAAGAGAATTAACTGCTTAAGAAAAGACTAATATATGAAAACCTTTTGAAGGAAACTGGGTCAAGGCCTCCTCTGTCCTCTCTCCTCTGCCCCTGGGGCAGAAACAGGTGTATTTGGGGGTGCTATTTGCCAAAATCACCTGCTCTGGGTATATCAACCCTTCTCCAAGGTCTGCTCGCCCTTTAGCAATGAAAGCCCCTTTGCAGGGGCAGCAGGGCCAGCCAGCCCCACGCATGCCCACCCACATGGGTCTCCCCTGAGGAGGTGGCTCACCCACCCAGCCATACCTTCCCCAGGCCTGCCCCTTGGGCCCAAGACCTTGGGCACAGGGCCTGGTAGGTGGCCTCCAGGTGTTGAGGGTAGAGCTGAACGGGTAGAGGAAACAAAATGACCCTCCTGTCCAAACCAAATCCTTGGCCTTGGTGAACAGCTATGCGGAGAGTGGAGAAATGGCCCCATCTAAGCAAACCAGAAGACGGGCTTCCCTCTGAGACATCCGCTCGAAGGAAGAGCCATTCACCCACACGGCACCGCTTCAGTTCTTGCTAAAACCCAACAAGTGAGGTCCTGCAGGTACCACTGGGAGCCTCAGTACCACCCTCGGAGGCCCCCAGCCCCAGGGCCATTCCCCTCCCCTCGGGGCCAGAAATCCATGGGGCCTGGCCATGTGCCCACCTAGAGCCCACAACTCCCCTTCAGACCACGCCCTGGGTGCCAGATTCTAAAATCCCCTCCCCACCACCACCAATTCCACTTCTGGGGCCCACATGGCCTCATGCCTGCACCCGACCCCATGGCCGCTGGGCACACCCATAAGGCAGCAGGGAGGCGAGGGAGCTGTTTGTCAGGAGCCTGGGTATCTGTGTGTTTGCCTGCAAAGCCAGGAGGGAGTGGGATGGAAGGAGAAGCAGGTGGGGTGATGCTCTGGGAGGATACCCCAGGGCACAGTGGAGCGAAAAAAGCAATTTACTGGGAAGACCGAGGAGGAGGGTCTGGACAGATGGAGCACCTGCAGGGAGGGGGCCGCGGGGAGGAAGGGGGGAGGGGCGGGTTCCTGGAGACCCACAGGGGTGACACCCCTGTGACAATGTGACTCCTCTCTTCCCACTCCCCACAGCAGATTGCCCAGCAAATCCCACAACACTACCTCCAGGAGACACCCAGAGCCCAGCCCCTTCTCACAAACTCCAGGGCTGGGTACCCTGGTCCGCCAGGAGCCCTTGCCCGGATGACCACAGTAGCTTCCTCACTCCCCGATTCTCTCCCAGGCTCCCCATTAGCCTTCTCTCCACGTAGCAGCCAAAAAAAAAAAAAAAAGAAATCCCTTTAAAACCTAAGTCAAGGGCACCTGGGTGGCTCAGATGGTCAGGCGTCTGTCTTCGGCTCAGGTCATGATCCCGGGGTCCTGGGATCGAGTCCCACGTTGGGTGGAGAGTCTACATCTCCTTCTGCCTCTCTCTTTCTCTCTCTGTCTCTCATGAATAAATAAATAAAATCTTAAAAAAAAAACCCTAAGTCAAGTCAAGTCATGCATCCGCTCAAAATCCTGCCATGGCTCCTGTCTCTCTCAGGGCCAAAGCCAGAAAGGCCTTCTGACGGCCTCGGAGCCCCCACCTGAGTTGGACCAGCTGTTCTGACCCCACGTCCCGCTCCCCCGCCCTCCGCCAGGCCAGGCACTTCCACGGGCCCTCTCTCCTTTCCTTGCAGGGAGCAAGCCACCCCGCTGCGCTGCGGCTCAGCATCTGCTGTCTCCCCTGCCTGGAGCACTCTTCCCTCTGCTATCAACGTGCTTGGCTCCCGCACCGCCTTCAGTGACTCCAAGGTCACCTTCTCCATCTCCCTGTCTAAAATCACAAACTGTCCCCTCCTCCCTCACCTGTCCCCGCCTGCTTTCTCTCCAGAGCGCCTGCCACCACATGACGCGGGATATTTCACCTCTTTGTTCCTTGTCTGACTCCCCACACCAGAACGTAAATTCCCCTGGGGCTAAACACTGTCTGAAGAACAAGTTGGTTAAGCGACTGCCTTCAGCTCAGGTCATGATCCTGGAGTCCCAGAATCTAGTCCTTCATCTGGCTCCCTGCTCAGCGGGGAGTCTGCTTCTCCCTCTGACCCTCCCCCCTCTCATGTACTCTCTCTCTCTCTCTCATTCTCTAAATAAACAAATAAATAAATAAGATCTTTAAAATAAAATACATAAACACCCTGCTTTCCTTAGTTACGCGCTACGGTAGGAAGATGGTAAGTGAATGCGTTAGGCTGGATAATAACCCCAAAGATATCGGGTCCTGAGCCTTGTGAATATTACCAACTAACCTTGTGACTATTAACTGCGTTAGTCTGGTCAGGTGGCCATAGCCAAGTACCCCAGACTGGGGGGCTTCAACAACAGAAATTTATTTTCTCACAGTTTTGGAGACCAGAAGGTCAAGATCAAGGTGTGGGCAGGGTTGGTTTCTTCTGAGACCCCTCTCCTTGGCTTGTTCTCCCTGTGTGTTCCCACAGTGGTCTCTGCTCTGTGCATATCTGTTCCTAATCTCCTCTTCTTATAAGGACACCAGTCACATTGGACCAGAGCCCATTCTAATGACCATTTTAACCTAATTGCCTCGTTAAAGGCTCTCTGTCCAAACACAGTCGCATTCTGAGGTACTGGGGGTAGGACTTCAACATACGAATTTTGCAGAGATACAATTCAGCCCATAACAGTTACCTTATATGGGAAAAGAGTCTTTGCAGATGTAATTCAGTTAAGGATCCTGAGATGGGGAGATTATCCTGGTTGGCGCTAAATGCCATCACAAGTATCCTTATAACAATATGGACAGACTGTATGCCAACAAATTGGGACAACCCAGAAGAAATGGATAAATTCCTACAAACACACAACAAATCAAGACTGAATCATGAAGAAACAGAAAATCTGAAAAGACGACTAACAAGGAGATTGAATCAATAATCAAAATTCTCCCAACAAAGAAAAGCCCAGGACCAGATGGCTTCACTGGTAAATTCTTTTTTTTTTTTTTTTAAGTTTTTATTTATTTTTTTTTTGCAAGAGAGAGAGCGCGAGAGCACAAGCCCAAGCGGAGGACGGGGGAGGGGGGCTGAGGGAGAAGCAGGTTCCCCGCTGAGCGGGGAGCCCGATGCAGGACTCGATCCCAGGGTCCTGGGGATCATGACCTGAGCCGAAGACAAACGCTTAACCCACTGAGCCACCCAGGCACCCGTCACTGGTAAATTCTACCAAACATTGAAAGAATGAACACCTATCCTCCTGAAACTCTTCCCCCACCTCAAAAACAAGTGGAAGAGGAGGGAACATTTCCAAGTTTATTCTAAGAGGCCAGCATTACCCTGATACCAAAATCAGACAAAAACATGACAAGAAGAGAAAACTACCAGAAAAGGGACCGCAAGAGGGAAGATCTCCAGCCCACACACCCTCACCGAAACAAATATTTGGCAGCCATTCATGGACAAAAATGCTTTTGTGGGAGCTTTAGGAGCTAGGTGGGAGGTGAAACCTCAGTGGTGCCCAAAACCCAGGATGCCCACTTTTATTTTTTGTTAAGACTTACTTATAATTTAAGAGAGAGAGAGAGTGCGTTGGGGGAGAGGGGCAGAGGGAGGGAATCTTCAAGCAGACTCCGCGCTGAGGGCAGAGCCCAACACGGGGCTCTATCTCACGACCCATGAGATCATGACCTGAGCTGAAACCAAGAGTTGGATGCTCCACTGACTGAGCCACCCAGGCGCCCCAGAGGATGACCATTTTTAGAGGGTAGATCCACACACTGGTGGCAGGCCCATCAACTGTGGTCAGCAGACCAGTAGCTATGGACTTAGCACACCTTGCTTCTCCATGATCCTGGCACCCGCCCCTCCACCACAGGATCCAGGAGCAGGAATGCCCATCCA